GGGGCAAGTTAGCACAATAAAAATGGCGTTTTATTTGGAGTTCATTTTACTCTGAATTATTTTTTATTTAACATTTAATGAATTTTAACGTCATGACCAATAAATTCGAAGCAACTACATTTGATATTGCTAATTTTCGATGTTTTACTCTAACTGCGATAACTCATGCAGGCATAAACAAATCGATCTGAAAATTTTACATAGCATTGTTTGGGTGCTGATGGAGTGCTGTATACTTTTTTAGCAACATCCGTGTATCCTAATATATAATAGAGGCACGCGAATTACGAAAACCTGTGTTCATATATATCTATACTAGTGTACGTGTAGTATCAGACATTAAACGCTAACTCCCTACTCCCTATTTTTGTGTGCTACTGCCGATTATCCCAATAATAATTTAGACGACTCCACAAAAAACTCATTGAAATATAGTTTTATTGCGATACTCATTGAAGCTACTATTATTAATATCATAAGGCTGAAACAAATATTACACTGATGTCATATGTAATTTTGTTATATAAAATTCAGTCCCTCAGCATTTACAAATGTAGAAGCTCGAAACTGCACATATTTTAGCTTTTTCATATCGTATACTTTTTATCGCATGAAGTATGTCTTCTTTTGTCGCACTAGCTCTGTTTGTTTTTCTAATATAATTGCGAACGATTTTGAAAAAAAAATTTTTTCGACAAAAAATATGTGCCAATGTCCCCCAGAATTTTAGTGTCAATATGCCCCGATCACTCCGACATTATAAAAAAACACTTAATAACAAAGGGCATTATTCGAACACTAATTTAACACTTCGGTACATTACTCAAGAGGTATTTTAATATAATAGAAACAAAATTATCACGATTACTTTATTCGATGGAAAAATAATCGAAGTTTTCGTAGAATTTAATATTTTCCTCGGTCTGTGGAAATATTTCGATCGCCCCTGCTTCGGTGCTCAACACTGATTCGAAACTGATTTTCTGTACAAACATCCATCATCATAGATTGTTTAAATTAATGGTAGCGCCATCTCCTTTCAAGTAGCTGATAAGGAGAAATATGCGGTGTGCCAACTTACCTCGTATGCCAACACACCCCGGTCTCCCCTAAACGTGCCGATTCCTTCTTAAACTGTGAACTGCTCGGTGTACCCTGACCAGCGCTTTCATTAAGTACATGTATGTGTACGTATAACTTCCCTTAAATTACTTTTTGTGTAAATCTGAATCAATCATCATATTAATTGGTTTTGAGAGGAAAATCTGATACCATAAATACACTCTATTACCTAAAAAATGTCTCGTATTTTTTAGTTAAATCAAAAAAATCCATTTGCCGAATTTTTAATCTAGATTATTTGGAAGTAACGAATGATGGTTATAATTTCCCGCGTAAAAATGGAAAAAATTGCCCATATACTGGCCATATATTGGCCATATACATTTGCGATATATTACCGAATCAATCGCCAATATATCGCAAATATATTGCATCTATAGATGCAAATGGACATCGGCCAATATATTGCTCATACATAGCCAATATATTGCAATATTCAAATTTAAAAAAACGGAATTTCAACATATTTTTTCTTTCCATTACAACGAATTATAATTCATCAATAAATTAATTAAAGATCAAATAAATTGAGATTTTTCGTACTCAGAAATGTTTTTATTTTTTATTCTTTTTCTATATCATTCGCGGGCTCACATATATATGTTTTTTCATTAAACGTCATTTTTATACAAATATTTTTTATATCTAGTACATTTATAAGTTCAATTTTATCGACATTCTCACATTCAAAAATATAATTCAACACGCCATCAGGTATATTAACAAAAAATGGATGTGAAGACTTTAAAATTTTAACTTTTGCATAACATGCTCCGGGACAGTTGCAATTATTCTTACAATGACAATTGAGTATTTGATAATATTCTACAACGCTCCCAACGCAGGTTTCGTAATTTTTTATGAACGATATGTAATGTGATATTGTTAGTTGATTTTTTTGATACGCTTCAGAAGTGTACAATCTATTATTTTTATATATTTTTTAAAATTTTTTTACACGATTACCTGATAAATTATACATTGATAAAAAAAGTTTAGTCTCATTCATGGACAAAATTGATATAGCGCCTACTGCAGATACACCGTTTTCAAGTTTGGTACATTTATAGTTTTTTTTAGCCGAAATTAATGTATTACAAAATCTGTATAGTTTCGAATCTTTTGTGAACCATTCATGTTTTAGAGTATGCACTTTAATATAAAAATCTAAATTAGATGTAAGTTGCAACTCTGGTTTATTACTGCTGTTGATGAGTTCAACTAGTTTCCCGTTGAAATTTTCTAATTGAAAACAAGAGGTCGTCCATAAAGGACCGAATCGAGAAACTACGAGTGGCAAATGTCTTAAATTATGTAAATTACAACTCATGAATTTAAGCTCGTATAAATCATCGAATCTTCTTGAGAATTCATCCAACAAAATCCCTGCTAATTGTACGTTGTGAACTGTAACTTTATTTTGAGATAATAAATACACTCCTAATACTAAAAGTAGATAATGGTCAAGGTAGTTACCTGGTAATATATTCGATAATATTGGAATCGAGAAATAAAAACAAAATGCCTTGAATTCCGAACCTTTCCAGTGAATTAAGTGGGTTTTTATTGGTCGAGGACGCCTTGCTATAAACGATGGGGGCTTGATCGAAGAAATTTTTTCATCAACAGCGTCTAGTGAATCAGATATACTAAATTTTTTACCGGAATGTTTTTGATCAAACCATAATTCTATTAACTTTTTTATAACGCCCTCGTGCACACAGTGCATTTCGTCAACCGCTGTCGAGCTTATAAACTTATAAACAATTTTCGATAAAATCGTCTCTCCTTTCACTCCGCATACCGGAACACCGACCTCAGCAGCTTGAACAGCATTTCTCAACACCTCATTTTCGGTTCGTAATGAAAAATTATCAATAAAAGGATAAACGCGTGTACTCTCTACTGTAATTCCTTTTTGTGTACAAGTCTGACATCCAAATTTTCCATTGTACTGATTCATTGATAAAAATAAAGCCTTAGCTGGAAGATCAGCGGTGCCACAAATGATAGCTCCGTGAACCTTAAGAGTTTTCGATATATCTTTTATATAAAAATCCAATCCTACTTTTAATTGAGAAAGTGAATCATGTAAATGTTCGAGGAAAAGATTGGGAAGTGGTTTTTTATCGCCAAACCAAAGTGCAACTAAAAGAACATTTTCTAGTTTATAGCGTTCTTCCACAGGTAATTCCAAAATAATTAAACAAAAGCCCCAAATATTATATTTGGACGATTTAAAAATTCTCACTCCATCTGTGTACCACATGAAAGTTAAAGAGAATTCATTACGAAAATATTTACTGACGAATTCTTTGTAAATATTTCCGTCGTATATATCAGAAAAACAATTCAAATCTCGGTTCAACCTAGCATTAATTCCAATCAATTTATTGTAAAGATTAGGGCGATTGAATAACGATTTTAATTGTCTCAACAAGGAGATCTCAAGAAAATAATTCAAATCTTCATTACAATCGCACGCACCGATATGTTCTGTTGAATGTTCATCACCCGACACTTGTTCATCACTACCTGAAGTACGATTTGAAGTCGAAACTAACACATTACAATTCGAACAGTACATATGTTTTTTTAAAATTGGTTTATCGATGTCACGAAAGGATTTTTTAAATTTATATAAGCTTGACGGATACTTATTAGGTTTTGGCAGAGTTAATTGAAACAATTTCAACGTAGCAGCAATTTGCATATCAGTTTGACGTGTGCTTGTTTTCAATGTACCTATGCTTAATATAAACTCGCGAACAGTAACACCAGCTCCGTCGTAAAGATCATCTTGCAAAGAAGAAGGAGGATCTGGGCTCGTGAAATTGTCATCAACATCTTCGTTGTCAAAATAATCGTCGTCGTCAAAATAATCGTCATCGCTCGCATAGAAAAATTCCTCTTCTTGATTGTTCTCTCCTATGTAATGGTAGATTTGAAATTTTTAGAATTCTTCATAAAAATAAAAATATAAAACATTTTTAAGTGAGTTTTCACACAAAATGATCGTTGCAATTATTTTTTGCGTATATTCACTTATGCAGATCAAATAAATACTAACTAAGTTATTTAGAATTAGGATTTCTAGAATTCAACATAAAAATATTTTTCAAAATCGTAAAGCGTGAAAAACTAGTTCGACAATATGATTTTAACATAAAAATAGCAAAGATACTACGCCAATTGAGAACGATAACAAATAATTTGCAAATCAACCGATAAAATAATATGCGTGCAATTGTGTCTAAGTAAGCGCCACAACTCTCTGATCTCATAGTGTACTCGCGCGCATACCGTGCAACTATAGGTATACTTGATATACTATGGTAGCTGCATTTGTACTAAATGCCAAGAAGTGTATCTCGGGCCGTTTATCATAAGTTCTAAATTAATGCTAGCAAATGAAAATACCCGAACTGTAATACGGAAGAAAATTGTCTCTCTCGTCATGCAGGTTTGATTTTGACGTCAGTGGATTAATAGGCGAAGAGTATTCATCGATTGTGGATGCATGGACTTCCTTTTCGCCGATCTCAAAATCTTGTGCTTCAAAACCTCTTTCTCCCTCCAAGCCGGTTTCTCCTTCGAGACCTTTTTCTCCATCAAGTTCCGTAAATTTTTGTCCAAAAATCCCTTTTGCGCGTTTTTTCAATTTCATGCAATAATCTTCGAAATGGAGAGGTCGCCTGCGCATTTTTCTTACTTTTAAGTAACCTTAATTAATTGCGGAGAGATTAATTAACGCTAGGATTATTTACTATCGATCGTTTCAAGCCCAACTTCATACGTGACTACATTCAGCACTGATCGGTATTGGTTATGCGATACTTTTAGTAACGTGTAAAATTTTTTCTTTCGCATCGATCAAAATGTTTGCATTAGTTTTTTGGACGGCTAATAAAACAACTAGCATTATAGAAGTAAAAAACTTGCATCCAGATGTAGAAGAGGAAAATTTAACGATTGCCGAATATAAAGATGGAAAAAAATACAAGGCAAAAGTCGTGCTGAAAAGTTGTAAGTAAAAATCAAAAAATATGCAATTATTTATAATAATATTCGTTTTTAAAATCATAATTTCTTGTTATTTTATTGCATCTGAAATTTTTATTTACTTTACTAATTAATTTACTTTTTTTAAAGACGATAAAGAATATTTGAGTAAGGTCACGGTTGACACGGAAGGAAAGATAATGGCGAAGAAAACGCAAGCTCGTGCTAAAAAAAATTCGTTCGAGCTTTTGAAAAAAAAATATAATGAAAAAAAGAAAGAGGAAGTTGCAAGATCCTTGAACGAAAAGGTTGGAAAAATACCCAGCATCTTTGATCAACCTTCAACCAGCAAAAAGACTTTCAACGATTTAGAATTGTCGCCTGAAGGAAAATCAACTGCCTGTAAGAGAACGAGAAATGAAAGTGCATTGAATGATAAGGTAAGAGAACACGACGCGCGAGAAAATTGTTTAAATTCCTGATTGAGTAATTTTTCTATAATTTACAGAGTGATACCGAAAAAGCACGCTATCTCAAACACAAAAACAGTTTACAAAAAAGCAAAAGAGAGCACTCGGACAGCAGTGACAGTGAAGAAGGCAGAAAGGTTCCAAAAAAATCACTCAAACTAGCCATTACAAGCAGCGAAAGCGAATTCCAGGACGACAATTTGAGCGAAATTCAGAGTGACAGCGACAAAGAGGAAGATGAGAATCTGGTATAAAAAAAGGCATCTTTTTTATTCAAAATTACGATTAATTTTTTTATTTATAGAAATCTGTGCCTTATAAGAGAGAACGTGAGCGAGAACGCGAGGAGAGTCAACGCGAGCGAGAACGCAAGGAGAGAGAACGCGAGCGAGAACGTGAACGAGAACGAGAACGCAAGGAAAGAGAACGCGAGGAAAGAGAACGCGAGGAAAGAGAACGCGAGGAGAGAGAACGCGAGGAGAGAGAACGCGAACGAGAACGCGAACGAGAACGCGAGGAGAGCGAACAAGAATTTCGGAGTGACGACGATGATGATTTTTTGGGTGGTGACTATCACGAGAATAATGAGAGACAGGTATAGGAAATAAAATTCAAGTTTTTAATTGATTAATAAACATTACAAATTATTTTTGTAGATTGCTGCTGCCCGTGACAGAGAACGAGAGATAGAGGAGAGAGAACGCGAGCGAGAACGCGAGCAGAGAGAACGTGAACGATTACGCGAGGAGAGAGATCGCGAGGAAAGAGAACGCGAGGAAAGAGAACGTGAGGAGAGAGAACGCGAGCGAGAACGCGAACGAGAACGCGAGGAGAGCGAACAAGAATTTCGGAGTGACGACGATGATGAATTTTTGGGTGATGACTATCACGAGAATAATGAGAGACAGGTACAGGAAATAAAATTCAAGTTTTTAATTGATTAATAAACATTACAAATTATTTTTGTAGTATGCTGCTGCCCATGACAGAGAACGAGAGAGAAATAATCAAGCTTATAGACGTAGTGAGAGAGAACAAGAGAGAATTAATCCGATTCAAAGAGTACGCGAGAGAAGGAATCATGTCGGGAGAGAATTGCCCCGTCCGAGGAACAGAAATGAAGGGCCAGTCGATATAGCAGCTGCTTTAAATCCGGTAACACTAAATATTATTTATAATGGTCGATTGATCTATATGTATTCATCGACGCTCGCCACGAAGAGTAGAAAGTTTTCATTCAAATTAATAAATAAAAGTACTATTTTTCGTGGGGAACGCCGATATATATTATTCAATTTCCAACTTTATTTATATTCATAAGAATGTCAAATAAATGATTTAATTTTTTTCAGAGACCTGTAGCCGTAGATCCGTTGGATGAATGTCGCCGAGCTGGCAATGGAAAAGTTTAACTATGCAGGTGCTATAATGTGTGGATCAACCAATCAGATGTGACTTACATAAATCGTTGGATTGATTCACCAAGACATATGACTCGACACCTACTCAAAATTCTGGTCGGAGAGCACAATTTAATTGGCATGTGTGCAAGAGGAAGATCCAATAGGAATGATGGAGTTCCTGAGGATATAATGGCAGCTGTCGAATGTAAGTAATAGCTACTTTTCTAAAAAGTGAATGGAATTGAAATTGATTTGACTCGTCTTTCTAGATTACGTCAACAGGAGATGCAGTTATACTTTAAAAGTAGTGGAGTTTACGAACGTCATTAATATGATGATTGCGTCGCTCCGTAACCCTAGAAGATAGATATGTTTTAACTACTATATTATACTTCATTTAACTACTTATAGTTAATTAGACGTTAGACTCATTTTTTTGAATAAAATATAAAAATATTTCTGAGTACGAAAAATGTCAATTTATTTGATTTTTAATTAATTTATTGATGAATTATAATTCGTTGTAATAGAAAAAAAAATATGTTGACATTCCGTTTTTTTAAATTTGAATATTGCAATATATTGGCTATGTATGAGCAATATATTGGCCGATGTCCATTTGCATCTATAGATGCAATATATTTGCGATATATTGGCGATTGATTCGGTAATATATCGCAAATGTATATGGCCAATATATGGCCAGTATATGGGCAATGTTTTCCATTTTTACGCGGGTTAAAAGGGCGTATTGATCATTTAATAATTGAAACGACAAACATTTTAAATACATAGAATAACAACACTTAAAATATTCGATATATGGTATCAGCTTCTCCTCTAAAAACCCATCTACTCAATTAAATAATCAATTGATTCGAATTTACACAAAAAGTAATTAAAGGGAAGTTATACGTACACAAACATGTACTCAATGAAAGCGCTGGTCAGTGTACACCGAGCAGTTCACAGTTTAAGAAATAATCGGCACGTTTATAATTAAAAAGAGCTTAATCTTGCAATTTTCTGAACGAGTAGTTAATTGATTAACAATTTTAATTAAGGTTTGCGCAACGTTGTTATAACGTTGAAACATCGTTTAGAAGATTTTAGGAAGCGGACATTTAAACATTTATGCAACGTTGCTTCACCGTTTATTCAACCCTTCTCTCAAACGTTTAAAGGTTGCAAATTAAACGTTTCAAAAACATTTAGACAATGTTGAATGTTAATAGGAAACCATAATTTTTTAACTCAGCGAAATTCCATTTCTGAGAAAAAAGAACCCAAATCATAAACTATGTGATATTCGTTAACTCGGATGTCACACTATATGAGCAATTCTCTAAATGAAACGCATTTTTGGAGGTAGAATCGCTGCAAATTTTTTTTTTCAACCTACGCGGATACGGACCCCCGGGAAATGTTTCTGCGGGTCCTAGGAACATGTAACCACGTAGGAACCATTGAAATTTCATTAGTGCTTACTTTTATAGCTACTTTTGTGATTTAGAGGACGAAAAATCATGTTTTCTCGTAAATACGGCTAATTACTCAATTTCTAAGTCGCTGAAAAAGTATCAAAACTCATCTGAAAAATTTAACTGACTACTGTAATCGATAGAAAATTTCCTCAGCTTTCCGATGGTACTATTCGATATTCCGAAATATCCAATTTTTACCGCGAAAATCGCCATCACACATTGAAGGCTAAATATGTCGACAAAATTCAGTACGGAAAAAGTGAACTTTTTGGATAATTGTTGATTTTTCCTTGTGAAAATGAAATTTATCGAAAAATCTGACTACCCCATGAGAAAGCCGAGGAAATTTTCTATCGAAAGCATATCTCCATTTATTTTTTGAGTCAAATTACAATGTTATACATGGGAATTTTTTTCACGTTGTTCGCTGTTTTTTGTTTCCGAGCTGATTCAGCGCGATCGCGAGGTTTTCAGCTCGGTACAATCAAAACTAGCTCGTAAATTTCACTGAAAAAATAAATGAATATATTACTACGATATATCAGCTTCAATCGACATTCAAATTTAATTATCGCTATAACAAGGCCATGTAATTACTGTTGGCACTCGAAAATTCATTTGAATTTTGTAGCGTGCGCGAGCCCAAAAGCCAAAGCGCAGAATCGTATGCGCACTGCTCAACGCACGTGTTGGAGTTCTAACTAGTTCGAAAAATCGAATCTACTTTCTCTAAAATACATGTACGTTACAGACATGCATTTTTTGTAAGTTCATGAAGCTGTTTACATCTTCCTCTCTTCATCAACTTTTCTCAAGTCCAAGTGAGTCATTAGCTTCGACCACGTGTTCAGTAGTAAAATCCAACTTTATCATGGCACAAGACAATTTAAAAAAAATGGTTCCAACGAGAGAAAAATTAGAGATACCTTGAACAGATTCAAAAGGAATATCCTTCGAATGGATTTTAAACAAATGAAGAAATGTAGATATATGATAAAACGTGAAAGTCCATCTACACTTTTCAAAATTGTATTGGATGAGAAGCATTAGGAAGTTCTTGAATTTCAACAGCAACGCACGAAACTCAATATTCGTAGAAAATTAATAGATGGGAAGCCTGCAATTCATTATTTGTTCAATCTCTACACGGAAAAACTTTTGACCATGTTTCACGCTCGAATGCATAGAGATACATTCGCGCTCTGAGTCGAGCACAATTCATGCTCAGTCTCAAGCGCGAAACACTCTCGGATTCTGATGAGTGTGAACTAATATTGGAACTTGAATTTAATTTTAGATAAACTTGCCATATTTCGAATACTCATAAAAATCGTTCTTTTTCATTTATTGTAAGCGTGGAAATTTTGAAAATTTTTATAAAAGTATCGTCTGCACGGCAATCGAGCTCGAGACTATTGGCCTCGAGTTGGTGACATGTAGCGCCCATGGTGTCAGGCAAATGAACTGTGAGCGGTCAATGCTAGTCAGAGTTTCCCTACAGATAATAAGCTATTTGTCTATAGAGTAACTCGCATAAATGCTTGTTTTATCAATGTAATGCTGTATTATCAATGATTGTTTATTTATCAGTTGTTTATGGTGGGTGCCTTCGTAAATACATGCAATCGGACACATTAGTAGACCTCCCCCAGTTCACGATACCGCTACTACGCGCTTGGCGCTGCAGTCGAGACTCG